CTAGAAGGGAAATTACTACTGCAAATGCTTTCAAATAACTTGCCAAGTTAAACAGAACATTTGGAGACATTTTCCACAAGTATATGAATAGAAAATGGAAAAGAAAGAAAATCCAGGTCCAGTATGGCAGAGAAAATAGCCAGAATCATATTGCATTCACTCACTCCCTGCCATTAAGTTGGAACCAACTCATAGCTAATCCTCGAGTGGGCATGCAAGAGGCTGGAAATCATATGGGAGAAGACTGTTTACATTTCTCTCTCTGAGTTTCTGGCAGATTCGAACCATTCGAGGGGCACCACCTTCGGTTTAACATCAAAACTCCCTACTGACTGCACCATCAGAGCTTTCCCTGTATTTTGCTATTAGAGCCTAATTGTCACAAATTTATTCAAAGAATCTAAAACGTATTTTGAGAAGCTGAACTCTATAACAGGGAACGTGATTTCAAGATCAGAGGAAGACTCATAAGCAATCAGCATTATGCAGATAAAACACCTTGCTTGCTGAGATGAGAAGGACTTGAAACATTTAATACAGGGGATTAAGGCTACCATATTCAATAGGGGAGACAACTCGCCATCAATAAAACAAAAATCCTTATATGGCCAATAAGCGACATCATGGAGAAGATATAGAAATCATCAATGATTTACTCTCATTTGGATTGACAATTAACGCCCCCGGCACCAGCAGCCAGAAAATCAAGACATATTACATTGAGAAAATCTGTTGTCAGGGACCTCCACAAAGTGCTGAAAAACAATAAAGTCAGTGTGAAGACCAGGTGCACCTGACCCAAACCATAATCTTTTCAATTACTTGCTCTATAAATAAAAGTTGGACAAATAATAAGGATGGCAGAAGAAGAACTAATGTCTTTGAGTTGTAATGCCGGAGAAAAACACTGAATATCCCATGAACTGCTAAAAGGACAAACAAATATGTCTTGGAAAGGGTGCAGTCAGGGTGTTCCACGGAGGCAAGGGTAGTGAAGCGTCATTTCACAGGTTTTGGGCATGTTCTTAGGAGGTGCCAGACCTTGGAAACGGACATCATACTTGGAAAAGTGGAGTGTCAGTAAAGCTGGGGAAGACCCTCAATGAAGTGGAATGACGGTGACTAATTGTGGGCTCAAATAGGTGAGAGATGGCCAGGGAGTTACAGGATCGGGCCCGCTCAGATTCACTCTTCATAGAGTTATTATGAGTTGTAGTCAACTCAATGACATTTAACAACAAAATACAATGAAAAGAGAGGATTCAGAAAAAAGTCCATACATATTAGGAAAGAGAATGGTCATGGCAAACTACATTATAAAGCTATGAAACTGGGGCTACTTTAACTTCAAAAGAAAACATCAAGCAGCAATTCAGTAACTATATACGCAGTTATGAATGAATCTTCCAGTGTCCTATTAGATGTGGGTTATTCTAACAACTATCAGGAAGATATTGTGACAAACTTATACAAAGAAAAGTACAGGATAGGGTAGGGTTCAGAGCTATTGTACAGAGGGTTACTGTGAGTCATAGGTGACTTGACGGCATTTAACAACAGCAACAACAAGAATAAATCTAACTAGAGACACTAAAGACCTATACAAAGAAAATTACCAAATATTACTACAAGAAACAAAAGAGACTTGGAGAAATGGAAGGATATACCATGCTCATGGATAGAAAGACTAAAAATTGTGAAAATGACAATTCTACCAAAGGCAGTCTACAAGTTCAACTCAATCCCAACATCGATACCAATTCCATTCGATGAGATGGAAAAGGAAATGTCTAATTTTATCTGGACTGGGAAGAGACCCTGAATAAGCAAAACACTATTGAAAATGAGAAACAAGATAGGAGGCATCGCACTCCCTGATCTCAAGTCCTACTATACAGCAGTAGTGGCCAAGACAGCTTGGAACTGGTACAACAGACACGTAGATTAATGGAATAGAATTAAGAATCCAGAAATCAGCCCATTCTCCTATGGTCAACTGATCTTTAACAAAGAGATGAAATCAGTTAACTGGGGAAATGACAGACTCCTTAAAGAAAATGGTGTTGGCAAAATTGTAAAATCAACTATAGAAAAGTTTAAGCAAGACCCACACCTCACACCATACACACAAAGTATATCAGGGATTTATAAGTAAAACCAAGGACTATTAACTTCATCAGTGAAAAGCTAAGAAGAGCTCCAAATGCCCTAATCCACAGCATGAAAAGTCTTCCAAGCATAATAAATAGACTACAAACAGAAGATAATAAAGTAGATGAGAAACCTTCTAAAAATCAAATCCCTATGCAAATCAAAAAGCCTCTCCAATGAAAGAATTCAAACACATGATGAAATGTTCAAAATTCCTCGCTATTTGAGATGTAAATTAAAGCAACTATGAGATATCATCTCACCCCAATAACGATAGAAAAGTCCAGTAGGACAACAGACAACAAGTGCTGATGAGTTTGTGAAGAGATTGAAACTCCTACTTGCTGCTGGTGATAGTGGAAAAATAGTACAACCACTATGGAAGGCAGTCTGGCACTGTCTCAAAAAGTTGGAAATAGACATACCATTTGATCCAGCAATTCCACTACTGGGAACATACCCTACAGACACCAGAGCCATAGCTCAAACAAATATATGAACACTCAGGTTTACTCCTGCATTATTCACAATAGCAAATACATAGAAGCAACCCAAGTGCCCATCAACAAACAAATGACTAGAAAGACTATGGTATAGTCACACAATGGAATAAAATGCAGCCCTGAAAAATAATGAACTCATAAAGCATTGCACAATATGGAGGAACCAGGAGAACATTATGCTGAGTGAAATATTTAAGTCACAAAGGGATGAATACTATGTAACACTGGAGTAGACAGAGAATGGAAAAAGGGAGCACAGATAAGGAACACTGTAGAAGAACAAATGAGGGGCAGAACTGTCCAAAAGGAATATATGATTAGGCATTATGTGTATGACAACAATCTGGAGGAAGGGATGCATTGCTATGTGGGACAGGGGAAAGGGGGAAAGAAAGAGGGGGAAATGTGCAACAAAGAAGGAAAAAAAATAATAAATTTTTTAAAAAGTTGAGGGGGAGGGTGGAAAATGTGCAACAATGAATGAAAGAAAGTCCAACTTTACTGTAAACTTTTGTTAAATTACAATAAAATAAGGAAGTTTTTGTTTTGAGTTTTTTTAAAAAAATATATATTAGCAGATATTCTACAAAGCACTCTTAAAAAATCTCATTGCCCATTGCCGTGGAGTTGGAACTGAGTAAAACCTGACCCCCTCGTGACTTTTTCTGAGGCTGTAATTAAAATTGCAAGGGGACAGTTTACCCATCCTTCTCCTGTGGAGCCACTCATGAATTTGAACCACCAGAAAAAGGTAGCTTTGGAATGAGCAGCGCCAACTCCTTACAGACTACACCAAATGTGAGTGTTGCTGTTATTTACTATCAAGTTGGAAACTCGTAGCTGACCCTCCATTAGGGTTTTTGAAGCTGTAAGTAGCACGGGAGGAGAATGCCCATCTTTCTCCTGCAAAGTGGCTGGTATATTTGAACCATGTGCCTTTGGGTTGGGAGTATAACAGTGTACCCACTAGGCCACCAGAGTGCTTTTAAAAAAAATAAAACTTCCAATTTTCAAGAAACACTGTTAGAATTTACATTTACTCAGAGGGTATCCTTTTCAAGTTTTTGTTAGTTCATAAAGGCAGTGTTTGATAACTGATTATAACAGAATCCTGTATACCCACCCCTTCCCCAGTGCATCCATGGCATTCTACTATATTGGTTGGCATTGAATCAAGTATATTCACTTGCTCATTCATTAGTTCCTTTTTAACCAAGAATCCAATGTGCTTGGTAATGTATGGGTGCTAAAGTGTTAACAGCCCACCCACACCCACACCCACACACAAGAACTATCTTCTGCTCTTTATGAGTGAAAAAAAGATCAATATAAATAGTTCTAAGGATTTAATGCATAAACACTTACGCTGGTTGCTAAATATGTCCCACACATCCATTTAATTTATAAATAAGCAAATTAAGAATTAATGTGAAGTATGGATGTATTAACAAGCCAAGATTAAGAAGATGTGATGAATGTGAATGAAAATGATTCCAGTATCTTATATTTAGTGGCAAAAGATGTGAGGAAAGTGCTCTATGGGAAACTTAAGAAGGGGTTCTGATTTTGGGATGCTGGACTATTGAAAAAGGTAAGATCATGTGTAGAAGACCAAATTCCTAGTGGACAGTATGACTGAAGAGAAGGATTAAAGAGGCATGGGTCACACAGGTATTACATAGGTATATTACTAAGTAGCAATAGAGGCAGGTACATTACTAAGACTCTTTCTTGTCCACAAGCAAAGAAAGGTGAATTCAGAATTATGTAAGAAGTCCAAAACTGTGTTAGTCTGAAGTCATTTTAATGGGGGAAAAGTAAAATTCAAATTTGACAACATTCCTTACCTTGATTTTTAACACAATACTTTTAAATACTCTTAAAGGGACTCAAGAAGACCATGAAAAGGTCATCTCATCAGGATCAACTCAAGCTGAGCCTTTAGTGGGTTTTCCAGGGCTGCATATCACATGGGAGTAGACTCTAGTATTTCTCTTGAGGACTCACTTAAATACTATGCTAAAGATACAGGTCAGAGATTATGCCATATTTGAGGGTTTTTCCTATGAAAATTACCTCAGACTTACACAGCTTTAGACTTCTTATTTGTGTGTTCACCTTACTTTGCTTACGCATAAGAGCCTTTGGTGGGTTTGAACCTCCAGAGAGGTGCCACCTTTGATTCAGCAGTGCAACGTCCTACCGACTACGCCATCAACGTTCCCTTCAATGGGAAGAAGACGTTACATTTTCAGACATTCTTCTATGTCAAGTTCTTTCTCCTGATACAAGAAAGGAGGAGTGATAAAAGAGAAAACCAAATTAGAAAAGCCAGAATATACATACTCTTCCTTGTCCACCTTTTCCCGGAGCTTCTTCAGTTGTTTACTTTGACCGAACTTCAAATTTTGCATTATGTTCTCAAAGTATTCATCTTCCTTGTAGCTCAGCTATATTGGACAAAAGATTTCAGTTTAAAAAGATTTTTGTTAAAACCAGTATCTTCTTTTTTATTTTTTTTTGCTGGAAACCATAGGGAGTAGTTTCTTTAATTTTAGTATCAGCCAAGTCTCACAATATTGACATTAATGCTTACATAACAGATTATGATAACATCACCTTATTTAGTTCTTACTTTGTGTCAAGCAGAAACCTAGTGGCTCAGTGGTTAAGCACTCAGCTGTGAAGTAACAGGTAGGTGATTTGAATCAACCAGTGGCTACATGGGGATAAAAGCTGATGACCTGCTCCTCGGCTACAATCTCTAGAACAACTTCAATCTCTTTCATCTCGTTTGTCAGTCAGGGGAGAATAAAATAATTTCCAGTTCCGAGATTATAGACTTTGCTACCCTTTACATACAAAATCCATAACCTGTTCTCTTTTTCAGTAAACTAATTATTAGGAAATGGAAGAAAATGAAAGCTTTGACTTTTCAGCCTAGCACAGGTGTAATAACGAAGCTTGAAGGCTACGTGTTATCCAGTCCTGTTTATATCACGACCATCCTCTGCTATTGCTTGATAATTACTTCTTTAAATTGCACTATATTTTTTTTTCTGTGTCCTTAAAATTGAATACATGAAAAATAAAATAAATAACTGTATCCATCAAATACAGTACAGGCCAATAAAACAAAAACACTACAACAAGTATTGATTTGACTTTAGTCGCTAAAACTTTGAGACTTCCAGTTTTATGCCACCTCACAATTCTGAAGCCAAAGAGCTAGAAAGGACATTGTCCCAGGCCCCAGGTCTTGCTCCTTCAAGAGACTTAATAACGGTGGATTCTCACCTCGAGATACTCCTTATTCAGTTTTTCGTCGTCTGAAATAAGGTCATCAGGATAGCCAATTCTTTCTTTAATTGCTAAGGCCTATGAAAATATTAAAAAGTTCAATGTGAGGATGATTACATAACTTTAAGATAGAAGTACTTTAAAAAATAAAATAAATACAAACACTATAATTTATCCTTCACTACCAAATGAATAACTAGATCTATATTGTTTACCAAAAAAATACACAACACTTAAACAGAGTTCTTTGCAATGGGTTCTTCCTTGAGTTCAAAGTAAGCTAAAAATAGATCTGAAATCCGGCTTCTAATGTTGAATTCTCATAAGACCAAAAATACAAAAATAAGACCTGAGAGGCCATTGTTCCACATCTACTGTACTTTGATGGACTTTTTACTCTCAGATAATTTCTTCTTCAATTGTACAGAAGGGGTAATATTTAGAGCTACCAAGCTAACAGCTTGTAATTATCTTTCCACTTCATTAACTTTCCTTAAGAAAACAGATCTGGGCTTACAGATTTAGTGCTAATATTCTTCCTGAATGTTGGTCCTAGGGTTTTTAATATTCTCCTCTGGTCTTTAAACTAAACACATCTTTTCATCTCAAAGTTAAAGGAATGGAAATAATTCATTAATTGAGTGAAACACAAGCGTCTCTCTATTATAGCAACAGAGTTATCAATTTCATTATGTACATTTCTGTTTTTATTTTTTAAATTACTCACTTTCATTATCATTGCCACTTATTTGCTCCTTGCTGTTTCTTTTTAGTTTTTAAAAGAATTTATTTTTCTGTTTTCTATTTTTGATTATATCATATTACCTTTTTCTTCAATCATCTAATTAACTTGAAATTTTCATGGGAATTAAGCCTGGATCTTATCTTGGAATTTGTCATCAGATGGGTGTGATTTTTGTTTACAAATCTGTTACATAAGCCCAGATTCTACCCAATACAACAGGACACACAGAGCTCACTGAAGTCACTCAGGTCAAGCCATTTCCTTGTAGCTTTCCACACCATGGGCTGAATACAAAGCAACTTCCTAAGCACAAAATCTCCTCATTCTGGTACTTTATTTCCAAAAGGTTGTTTCCCTAAAGTAAATATTTTGCAGTTTATTGTGACATTTGTCTCTTTATTCACTATACATCTGGAAAAGTCTGTTGTTAGGGACCTTCCAAAGTACTGAAGAGCAACTCTCTATGGAGACTAAAGTGCACCTGATTCAGACCCTGGTCTTTGCAATCACTTGGTATCTATCAGAGAGGTGGACAATGACTAGGGTGGATAGAAGGAGAATTGATGCCTTTGATCCGTGGTGCTGGAGAAGAGTATTGAGAATACCATGGACTGCTAAGAAAATGAACAGGTTCATCCTGGTGAGGGTTAAGCCAGGTTGCTCCTTGGAGGCAAGGATTCTGAGGCCTTGTCTGATATACTTTGGACATGTTGCAAGGAGGGACCAGTCCTTGGAGAAGGACGTCATGCTTGGGAGGGTGGAGGGACAGTACAGGAGAGGAATATCCTCTATGAGATGGATAGATTTAGTGACTGGGTAATTGAGGTAGGTGTGTCAGAGACAGTTTGATTGGCACAGGATAGAGCAGGGTTTAGTGCTGTTGTACACAGGATCGCTATGAGTTGCAGGTGACTCGACAGCACATAACAACAACAAGAAGATACATTCAAGTGCCTACCAAGAAGCTACTGTGTTGGAGGAAATACAACCAAGGTGCTCCTTAGAGAGGAAGACTCGACAAGACAGACTGACACAGTGCCTGTAACAATGGAATTGAACCTAGAGGAGATGATGAGGATGGTACAGGGTAGGGCAAGATCTGTGCTTCAGAGTTCAGAGGGTCAATATAAGTCATAGGCAACTTGATGGCATCTAAGCATGGCAGAAACCAAGACGTTGAAATTGTAGGAAGATAAAATAGTAGGCAATATTTCAGTTCTCCCAGAGCTAAGATGAGTATTAATAATTAAGTGTGAGGTGTAATGTCATCAAATTACTCCTGAAACAGATGAGGGAGAGAATAATTTTAAAGTGATGT